AGCCTCCCAAGGCGCCCATGCAGGGCAGAGAAGGGTGGTGGATAAGCTCACTGCTACAGGAGATTGTGTGATGTGATGTGTTAGGGTGCTTCCTAATTCTAAAAACCTGCTCAACAGGGAGATTAAAAGATTGCTCTGTGAAAGAGTCAGGTTCACCATGGTGTCTTTGTTCACTGATTCAGCAAGGAGTTCAAAAAAAGAAGGCTGGCAAGGCCTAACACTCAGGCACTTCTGAAATAACAAAATAGATTTGACTCCTCCTACATACCAACCCCACTCAAAAAGAGCAAAATACATTTTTCAAATACATATTCTTCATATCCCACAAGAAGGAATCAAAGATAAATTACTCTTTCCCCTTCACCCCTTCTTTTCCTACACACCCTAAAGAGAGATCTGGTTAATCCATGATTAAAATCTGGGGCCAGTCAAGAGAACGACAAATATCCTTGTGATTTCATTGGGGCTGAAAGGCAGACCTAACAGAAATGGAACCTTCTCACCAATTGCAATCAAATTATGGTGACATATTTTCTACGATGAGCATGGACCTAACAAATACAGTGACAGTGGACATAGAAACTGTTAAATGTCATCTCATTTTCTTACAGAAAATTGGGTAGCAATTTATAGTATTTCAGCATTTCTCTAGGAACTCCTTGCAGAGGTAGCTTTCCAGGGATACTAAGGAACCAGACAATTGTTCCTTCTCAGTGTGTTGAGTTTGGCAGACAGATAACAAGGTTTGCACCATTAAAAACCCGTGTTGATTAAAGTATAAATTCAGAATTATTTCAATGCTTGTGCTGTGGCTAGAGCAGTGAAATTCATTACTTCAGCAACAAGCAGAAGCTTGCAACTGCCACAGCAGCATTTGTATTCTTTTAAGGGAATTTGTTTTTTGTTTGGACAATGTCCTGCAAAATTAAACGTTCCTGTACATAACATTTTAAGCACAGTTGGTTGTCAAGGGTTAACTTGGTCAGTGGAACCTAAGTGAAAGTTTTAAAATACTGCTGTCATAGAGAACAAATGCCTTCAAAGTGTCTATAGCATATGTTATTTAAAAGAGCGCTGAAATAAAGTCCTGGTTTTAATTATTTTTCTTTGCAGAACTTCTCTAACTTTATTGCCAAAGAAAAGACTTCCAGAGCCAATTTTTAATCTTAATTATACCAGATTCAATCTGGAATATTTCCCTTGAAGTTAGAGTTACACCAGGTTTACACAAAGCAGAATCTGGCCCAGTTTCCACATTAGACTCTTTCTCAAAAGATAATGTAGATTAAAAAGCAAAATATCTGACTAAAAAAAAAAAGCCAGCAGTCTAAGGATCATAATGTAACTAAAATGCTGCTGTATCCTCTGTTCTTGAGCCACATCAGAGCTTTCCTGTCGAAGCCTGAACTGTAGCTTCACATGCATGGTTACGGGAACCTTTACCTGCATTTTCCTCTCATCTCACTCTCTCATTTCTCTCTCCACTACCACCTTGCTCAAGAGAAGTGCATATAACTGAGTTCTCTGGAGGATTGTCAACAACAAACAGGCAAGTGATCATGTAACTGAGGCAGAAAGTGCTCTGCAGAATTACATGAGGTACAGACTAAAACAAGAGGATCTCAGAGAAGAAGGCCAAATAGTCTTTTGGAGAAGTAAAAAAAGAGAGGAACTGTTTCCCTTGACATTTCAATGTTTCAATCTCTCCTGTGCCTGAACTTAAAAAAAAAGGAAAATGAGGACATGGGCATTGGCCGCTTCTTGGGATGGCTTGAGGTGTGATTGCTGCCTGCTTGATTTCTTCCATCACTGATTAGGGCCGTAGAACCTTGAGTACAGGAGACGTGCAGGGCTGCAAGGAGAATGAGCACGTGATTCGTGCCTCCTGCTGGCATACCTCCAGCACGATCTCGGCAAATATGAGTAAAAGGAGTGAACTAATTCAATGACTAAGAGGAATGGCTGCTTTCATTTCCAGGTCTGGAACATTTTGCTGACTGTGACAAACTCCTTGCAGCTTTGCAACTCCTAGCGGTGACTCCACACAAACTCCAATTCTGCAAGCTCTTAGGAAGCATTAATGCATTTCCATCTTCTCAGTCCTTGGGATGGGGCAGATCCAAGTTCAGAAACACTCCATGCCACAGAATAAAAAGGACAATGTTTTGTTTGCAGGGGTATTTTGGAGCATGAAAGATTGGGTGAGGACAAGGATCCTTTTAGAAACCTAATTGCAATTAATAAACCTTGGCTGTTGCTCCAGTATTTCCACAGGAAATCACCCCAAAGGTGTGTGTTAATCACTAAGTGTCAGAAGAAAATCTGTTGTGAGATGAAGCAGAAAAATGCCATCCCTTGCCTGGAGCATGGGCAACTCTGGGTACTCGGTAAACAGAGACCTTTCTCTCCTGAGTCTGACATTTTATAGTGCTCAGCCAATCTTGGGTCTTCCATGGTAAGAATGTATGGTGGACATGATCAGCCCAGGAGTACGTGGGGACCGACGCTGACACAGATGCTGGCACATGCCCACCGTGTCACAGCGAGCACGGCCGCGACATCCAGGGTGGCCTGCACACCATCCAGCCCCCCGTGCAGAGCTCAGGGCTGGGCTCCCAAGCACAGTAGCCCGAGGCGAGCAAAGCTGGTACTAATAGCGAGTAGCTGCAGAACGAAAGCAGCTTGGTCTGGCTGTGGTTTTGTCCTGCTGTAATCCATTAATTGCTGCAGCTCGAAAGAACAAAGGCAGGGATAATGGTCTCGGGAGTTACGAACCGAAGGCAAACCTGGGCTGAATCAGCAGACGATCCTTTGATTTCAGAGGGAAAACTTATCATTTGCGGCACGGGAGGAATTTATCTCTCTGCTTTGCTCGCAACACGCCACATCCCCGGAGCTGCTGAGCCGGGTGCGGGCTGGACCTGCGGGGCAGGAGTCATTGGGTTCCCGGACAGTCCCTCTCGGCCGTATTGTCCGGAGCCGGCCGGTCTCTGTGCCCCTGCCGGGCTCGGCGGCTGCTCCCGCGGGCTGCGGTGCCCTCTAGTGTCGCGGGGCGGTGGCACTGCCTGGCGGTGGTGCCCCGGTGCGGCGGAGCTGCTCCCGCCCGTCCGTGCCGCCGCGGGGCCGGGGCTCCCCGCACGGGGCCGGAGCGCAGCGCGGAGCCAGGCGGCGGCGAGGGGCCGGGCGGGGAGCAGCCCCTTCCCCCTTGCTTTGCCTCGCCCCTAGATTGCGTTCAGTCTGCTTCTGGACCAGAGCGACGTGTTTATTCTGTCGCAGTCAAAAAAGTCAGGGCGGGAGCAAAAGGAAAAACAAAGTCTGTTTTTCAAAGAGTAAGGCTTCCACGGCTGTTTTGGCATCATATAATGTCGAGAGCCAAACGCAACAATGAAAGCAAAACAGCTCGACGTCGCGGCATCAGCGGCCTCGGTGGGAAAACGACGGGCATGGGGAAGGAAAACGACGGGCGCGGGGAACTACCTCAAACAGCCATGTGGCGAATAAAAATAAAGGCTAGGGAGGGCAGGCTGGGCAAAGTTAATTTCTTTTGTCTGGCTGCCTGTCCTCCCAGTGACACGGGATCCCTGCTATTCAGAGCCAAATTCTGTTGAACAAACAAAATGAGGGAATCTGTACTCGTGGAAAGATGGAAAGAAATAAAAATCTAAAAATCTGGTAAGACTGTAAATGTACACAAGACCCTGCCTCCGCCAGAACACTTTTCCAGAGGGGCTCGGGCCCTTGAGTTCCCGTGCTTAGCTCTCCTTCCAGGTGGGGCAGCCCTCGCCGCTGGATTCCCTCCCTAGGCGACAGATGTGAGCACAGATGTGAGGCCGCTGTGCTTTCTCCCTCTCTCAGGGGTTTGAGGGGTCTCTGCTCAGGGCTGTAGCTGCTCCTCACGCAGGGGTTCCTGCTCTAAAAGGTAAAAAGGGTGACTACTGCTCCGTGCATCGCGGAACGTGGGTAACGATAATGAAACCCAGACAAGCCTTCCCGTCCAGTCAGAAGGCTGCGGCCCCTCAGCGGAGGTCCCGCGGAGCCCGGGCCGGGGCACCCCCTCTCCCGGGCCTGCCCGGTCCCGCCGGTGGCCACACAAGCCACCAATTAGCTGGTTCAATAGGCTTATCCAGTTAAGCGCTCCCCTGCTCGCCCTTGGGAGAGAGCCGCAGGAAAGGATTTATTACTTGAAACAAATTGTGATTTCCCCAGGGAGGGGGATGCTGAGCGGGGAGGGGGTGTGTGAAGGGGCCTCGAAGGCTCCCAGCCCCCCTGGAAGGGCCTGAGAGCCGAGAGACCCGCCCCGCAATAACGCGGGCCGTCGGTGCTCCCGCTGCCCGGGGAGGGGACACACACACCCCCCGCCCGGCCGGGGGCAGGCTGGGAGCACACAGCACAGGCTAGGCCAGAGCGGCTCTAGCCCGGGCACCGCACTCTGAGACGTGCAGCTTCCATCTGTTACCGCCTAAACACAGCTAACGGGATGCTGTGTGCTGCAGCCCTTCAGGGGAGGGGAAGGCGGGAGGACAGGGAGAGGCAAAAAATCCCCCCACCCCCAGCCTGTCCTCTCGCTAACCCCACGGCCCCCTCGCGTCCCTGGACGGGACCCCCTGCACCACGCGGGGCGGGAGGCAGAGTTCAGCAGCCGTCCTGGAGGGTTTATTTTAACTACCACCGCCTCTGCGCGGAACCATTCCATAGGCACAGCGCCGAGGGATCGGCCCAGAGCGGGCAGAGCCCAGCTCCCGCCGGCTCGGTGCTCGGGCCCTTAGTGAGGGCAAGGGAAAGCTACGTCGGGGAAAGCGCCACCGTTCCCACAAGGGTCCCTGAGCCACGGAACACCTCCGTCCCTGTCTCCACAGAGCCGTCGGGCCCCCGCCAGAAGGGCCAGACTGGCCTAGCAGGCAGCCTCGCCAGTCGCCCAGTTCACAATTTTTATTTTTGGCTGGGTCTTGTGAGATCCCACGTGGAAGCCGTTAACGACGTCTGGATAATGATCGTGACAAAGGCATTATTCAAATGAGGCAGGTAATTGCAACCAGAAGGCACCTCCTCCCCTTGCCTTTCTCTCCTTTCTTTTCGAAAGAGTAACTCTCGCATTACATCCCATCCTGATGGTGTTTCGCCAGGAATCGCCCTGCACGTCGAACCACACACGCTCACGCCGGTACAGCGCGGCCCGAGCCCTGCAGGATCTCCCCGGCGCTCAGGCAGCTGATGCTCATCTTCACGGGGTTTAAATTTGGCAGAGCCCGCAGCTCTGATACGAGTAATGATAAAGCATTTCCCTCCGTAAATTAAGGGGTTCAGGGTGCTGGGTGTGCTCGCCCTCTCAGATGGAGAGTTCCAGGGTGCGGTGGGGGGAGCCCCCAGGGTGGGGCTTTTTTCTCCTGTGTTGTTTGTTTGTTTGGTTTAGCTTTTTTTTTTCTTTCTTTTTTTTTTTTTTTCTCTCCATGTTTTTTTGACTCTCTGGGAGCCTGTTGTTTATTCACAAGCATTACGGTATCCTGTTAGCATTCCGACCAGGGGCTGCTCATAGATCTGACTCCGATGATTTCCTGGAGGAACATGTGGAAGCAATAGCGGGGTTGTGCACTCGCCCGAGCCGAGGACGCGCTAGTGGAGGGCGTGCAAAGGGCCGGGAGCCCCGAGAGCCCAGGCAGGGGCACCTCAGCCCTGAGCGCGCATCCTTGGGAAGTGGTTCTCGTTTCTGCCTCTGCTCTCTTTGGGGCATCTTCGTTTCAGAGGCTGAACTCTCCCTCGGTTAGGATAGAGAAAAGCCACTGGGTCCTGGCTCTTGACTTCGAGAACAAACTTTTGTTTAATACTAAATGGCAGAAAAAGGTGCGGGTGGTGTGGTGCTGGGCTGGGGAAGGAAGGAAAAGGGAGAAGCCCCGGCCCAGGGGCATCTGAGGGCCCGTGCCCTGCCCAGAAGGCAGGCAGCGGGCAGAGACCCGCTCGGCTCCGTTCCTGGGGCTG